AGGTCGGTGAGAGTGTCTTTCGCTCCTGGTGTGCTGGGAGATTTCTGGGATTGGTTTCTGTCCTCCCTTCTGTGTATTGGCCGCTGGAATCGGCGTGCCCTGCAACGGGAATGGTGGCTACATAACATTGTTTTGCATCATAAAATTGATGACCGATTGCAGGTCTGCCAACTTGTTTGCCATCTCTTTTACCTCTTCGTCCCTCCGCAGGCATCTATCCTTCCATACCTGGAGGTCATCCTCATTGTAGTACCCACTTCGGTCTGGCTTCTTTGGTACGTCGCCATCCTGGCCGACGTCTTTTTGGCCGCTGGAATCGGCGTGCCCTGCAGCGGGAATGGTGGCTGCATAACATTGTTTTGCATCATAAAATTGACGACCGATTGCAGGTCTGCCAACTTGTTTGCCATCTCTTTTACCGCTTCGTCCCTCCGCAGGCATCTATCCTTCCATACCTGGAGGTCATCCTCATTGTAGTACCCACTTCGGTCTGGCTTCTTTGGTACGTCGCCATCCTGGCCGACGTCTTTTTTGTTGTGATTCTGGTCACGAGTTTCTGTGTTACGGTTGTCTCCTTTGACGTCAAGGTCGATAGGTCTGCCACTCCTGGCATAAGTGTCGTCTCCAATCTTTTTTTTCTGTCCGTCACTGGCCATCTATTCTTCTTTCTTTCCCACAGACGGCGCCAAATTGTGTGAGTGATTTTCCGATCATACTGCCAACTTAGTTATTCAGTTAGAGAGTACTGGCAGAATAGATGACACCTGGCTAACTTGCAACAGAAAGAAGAGATTCCGGCGGTGGTTCGTCCACCCGGGGGCACTCCGACGATCAAGTCAGTACTCAATATCTCTCAAAGATAACCAATAGTGCTAAACTCACTGTTCAGAATATAAATTGCGTACCTTAGACCCATCGGGGGTGCCTCTCTTTTATAGCCACCACAAACCTAATCCCAATAGAAGTCTGGCTTCAATGGACTTCTGCTCAGTGCTTATCCTGAACTCTCTAACAGATAAAGATAAACTTCCTAAGAGTGTTGTCCTTATCCATGCTAAAGTCATTTCTCATTCTATGACTCCTTGTGCCTTATCTGCTTATCTCGGATTCCGATATCTTCGGAGATACCCTCGGCCTAGCCGAGATTACCTCGGCATTACGACCGGGACACGTGGCACCTCGACTGACACGTCGGCGTCACCTTGGTCACGTGTTGATACTCAAAAAATGTGTCCCCACATCATAATTTTGATTTGTACGTTTAATTAATTAAAAAAATGATAAGCGGATTAACAATGTCACAAGTAGGGGTGTGCGCGGTGCGGGTCGGTGCGGTTTGAGAGAAAAATAGAAACCGTATGGCGGGTGGCGGATTGATAAAAGTGTCACTAGAATTTGCCATTTTCCTTATCAAAAACCGGCGGTTCAGTTGGCAAATAATGGCGGATTTGCCTTGGCGGTTCGGGCGGATTGGCGGTTTATAAAAAATATAATTCAAATTACAAAACTTAAATCAAAGAGTAAAAAAAAGACGAGAGATATCATGATGTTAAGCATCTTGCGAAGGTTTCTTTTGATGCAGCAAGTGTAGCAACAACATGATAATATCAACGACTATGCCATCAGTTCATTACAAGCATCTGTGGAAGCTACAATAATCAAATACAATACATAAAATTCCCCTCGAGCAGTAATGTAATACTATATTCTAAGGTATAGAACAACAAGCAAACTTAAGTAAAAAAGAATTTTTAGAATCCTATAAAACATGATTTAATAGCGGTGCGGGTCGGTGCGGTTTGGAAAAAAAATAGAAACCGGCGGATTGATGAAAGTGTCACTAGAATTTGCCATTTTTCTTACCAAAAATCGGCGGTTCAATTGACAAATAATAACGAATTTGCCTTGGCGGTGCAGTACGGTGCGGTTTTGACGGTTTCGGCGGTTTCGGCGGTATTATGCACACCCCTAGTCACAAGTCAAATGATCAGGTAAGTCTTTACATTTCATTGCATTATATTTCACATGGTTACGTGGTTTCTAAGATCATTCAGATAATATTTTAAGACTATCATCTAATTTTTTTTTTATTATACGTGTTTAGTATAACGCAAAGCACTATCTGACGTTGTTTTACATGATAGTCCAAACTAATCACATTGAAAAAATTTAACGAGTAAAATATGCTAACTCATAATCGAGACTATCACATAAACAACATCACACGACCAGAGAATTAATTGGTCCATGGCCTCTTTGTATAACGTCCTGACCTTATTTTGGGCCTAAATAGTTCAGCCTAAGAAGGAATTATCTTCTAATTTTCATGGCCACAAGTGACATTGGGCTTGGGCCCAATCAAAGACCTTCAGTTATCATATAATCTGTTTTATGCTTCTTTTTTTTCTTTTTTCTCCAAAGAAATAATAATTAGTTTAACAAAAATAAACACCAAAAAATATTTGTAAATTATATTTTTTTTAGGTTCAAAAATAAGAAAATCATGTAGAAACGATGAGAGGTTTTTTTATTTATTTATTTATTATTTGTTATCAAACTAGTTTTTAGTATTTTTGATAAAACTCAACCAAAGAAGGCACAATTCTCAAAATGACATAAAAGACTCAAATACACAGGTATGAAAATTAAGCCTTTGACAATAGTCATGAGTATACATAAACCAAACGATCAAGCAAAATCTTCCCTAACGTCATTCATCTCCAAAGGAGGAGTTGAACTTAAAAGTTCAATAATTGATATTATATTAGTGTGAATTCCAGAATTTTTTTTTTTTTTTTTTTTTTTTTTCAAATGTTATTACAAGGCTGCCGTTTGCTTCGGTTTAAAAGTCAGCTTTTTAATTGGTGTTTTTTATTTTTATATTATTAAAAATTTTAAAAAATATTTATTTTTAAAATTTTTAGGGATTTCTTAGGTAGGTTTTAACCCTTTTTTAATTACCAAGAGCTATATAAAAAAATGGTTCCAAACCAACTTGTGACCTTGACTTAGATTTTTTTTAATTGATATACTTATAAGGACTATTTAGACTGATTTTTTTAATCAATTAATAGAGAGACTACAAAATCAGAAACTTTTGTTCTTAAATAGCAATCAATGGTTCAAAATCAGGAACCCACACCATCAATTTAATTTTAACCCCACAAATTAAAGGAATCATCTCATGACCGTTAATAAAGTTGGATTCATGAAAAGCACAATCGTCTTAAACCAATAATCGAAATTGCAAGTTTCTATGACATCATATTTTTACATATGTCCAATCTATTGCAGACAAGAAAAACTAAATAATTTGAAATTCCATTTTCTTTTTTTCCACAATTGAAGACAGTATACAATGTCTTTAGCCTATGAAAATTCTCAATTATAATGATTGTCAATTAAATAATAAAAACACAGTTGTCCAAAGTGATTGCACAGCAGAAGCAAATTGGTTGTAGAAATAAATAATTATATGTAATTGGAATATTTATAGCCAATGAAAGAAAACAAAAAAAAAAAGCAAAATTTGACTGTAATTATTTATGCAGTAGGCTTAGACCAAATCTCAACCAAAACCCTTTATTATATCGATAACCGATCAATCATTGTTCTTTAATTAATAATACTATGAATTATAGACTAGAAAAGCATGACTAAAATCAATGTACAATAGCACAACACATTGATTGATAAATTAATCTCCAGATTAATTAATTAATTAATCAATTAATATTACTTTCTCCTGATGGACCTTGCAAATATATAATCTAATGATCGTCATTGTTTCATGTATGTAAATATGACAGTCTCATTATACGATGTCCGACCTACAATTGATAGAGAAGGCTTGAAAATGAAGCAAAGAGGGAGAGAATGCGTGATTATTTGCAAATTTGTTTTTTTTTTTTTTTTTTCTCCTCGAATTATGGTGAATGTTTTGTAGGAAATGACAATCTTTTTCTTTTGAATATTGTTGAATTCTAGCGATCCTATGTAAAGATATCGATTGACTTCTTAAATTTGAGAATGGAGTAATTTTTTATTTTTTATTTTTTGTAAATGAATTACTGAAAACAATATTAGAAGATTTTTTTGTTCCTTAAGTAAATATTTTATTTTCTTTTTATAAAATACAAGGCTCTCCACAATCCTCTTCGAACTTCAAAAAAATCATTCACGTAAAGTCTCAGCTATACAGCAGACAACGAATATTTTCACACATAATAAGACACATATAAATACCACTTGTGAAATAGTCAACCTTTTATCTTATATTTGTGTATTATTATGTGAAATTTCTTTGTACAATTAGATTAACTCGGTGGCATCTATCTAACCCACATGGTGGAAGGGCGGACGAAGTATGAAGTTGGCAAATGCATGGGTTAAGAAATATAAATTGACATAACAACATATCTTAAGAAAAAAAAAAATTTTAATTTAAAATTTAAATTGGCATAACAACGTAAATCAATGATTTTAAATTTTAATGATATATTTGCAATTTATCTATTAAATGGAGATTTCCATTCCAATCATGCAATAGAAAGCATCTAAAACTTTTTTAACTGAATTTAACAATTTTGTAAATTATAAGTTCGTGTCATATCATTTTGTACAAAAATCTTGAATGATTTTTCCATTTGTATAGCTCTTCAAAGTTTCTGAAACATGAACCTCATATTTGAGGGTAAATTTCTTACTAATTTTTTTGGCTTCCTATCTTTTCTAGGTAACTATTAATTATAAAATTACCATCCCAACATTCCTGTAAAAGTATTGTATAGTTTTTTTTTTTTTTACAAAATTAGAAATTTCCAAATTATATATATATATATATATATAATATAATACAAATGAACTGTCCTAATTAGCCGGCACAAGCACAAGTAGGTTGGCCGGCCTTCCTTAAACCCTAATTTTTTCTTCACATTTCACTTTCAAACTCTCCATCCATTTCCCACAACCCTATAAGTAAACCCTAAAATATTCTCACCATTTTCCATTCACATCACTCTTCATTTCAATCTCTCTCCACTTCACATTTCACTTTCATATTTTGGATTGAGTTCATTCTCGTAGTGACTTTGAAAAAAATGAGGCAAGCAAGAACATATTCGAGGATTGTATCTGGTTCTGGAGGAGGAGGAGGTGGAGGAGGGATGTCGGGGAGAAGTGGGCCTCACTCTTTGCCGTTGGCGAGGATAAAGAAGATCATGAAGAAATCGAGCGACGATGTGAAGATGATATCTGGGGAGGCACCCATTGTGTTCTCAAAGGCTTGTGAGCTCTTCATAGAAGAAGTTACAAGGAGGTCTTGGATGATGACTGTGCAAGGGAAGAGGAGGACTCTTCACAAAGAAGATGTTGCCTCTGCTGTTGTAGCCACTGATAACTTTGACTTTCTTGTCAACTTGGTTTCTGATTCTGCCAAATCTAAGGGTAATCCTGAAATAATGGAGACATAGGAGAGCCTCTCTCTAGAAGCTTGTAAATGCACTTCAAAAATTAAATTTGAATTTTATTTTTTTCTTTAGACATTCTAATTAATTCTAACCTTACCTACCCAGAGAAAAAGATAATTGAAGGGAGAGTAGGGTTGGGGTGTGGGAGTCATAGGTGGAGAGGGGCTGCTGGTGGTGGCCAAATGTGAGGTGGCGGGGAGAACTGGGGGGTGGCTGCTGAAGGTGGTGGCGTAGCAGTTGAAAGGGAAGAAGGTGGTGATTAAAAGTGGAGTTGAGAAATTTCTCTGAAATTTCAACGGCCCGATATAAAGTGTCCTTTATAATATTTTAAATGGGCTGTGGTGAGACACATAGACCATTCCACTTGTATTCTCTCTTCATTTTTCTTTGATAATATACAACTTTTGAATAAGAGTAAATATTAGATATAATGATAATATTAGATGACAATATCATTAATTAATAGTGAATTTTACATTATAAATGTCTATCTAATTTCATTTGCAGTTTTTTGTTAATCAATTGGGCTAACCCAAGCAACCCGAACCCGAATTGAATTTAATATATTATATAAATTATATAATATATATATATATATATATAAATTAAATAATGGAGGGAGGGAGCTATTTTTATTAATAAAGTGCAAGGATTTCGAATTTTGATAAATTATTACATTTAATCTATTGGAGATCGCACAAGCTTTTTTCTTTTTTTCATGAATGATTTTTTCTTTCATTTTTACATATTTTTTTAAAACATCGTCCTATCATTAAGATGTCAAATTTTTTTTTTTTTAACATAATAAAATATTGGCTTAAAACAAAAGCAACTCTACCTAAACAGAAATGTATATATATATATATAAGAATTGGGTTACCCAGCATCAATTCTTCTTCTTAAAGTCACACAATTTAAGTGTTGTTTGGTCAAAATCAATTCCACATCAATTACTTCAGATTTTAATCCCCTCCATCATATAGTTAGAATGAAATTTTTATTTCAATGCATAAAGTTACATCACATTATTACAACAATTACTATCCTTTTGAGTGTAAAATTTTATTTTAAAAAATAAAGTTTTTTGGCACTAAATTATTTTGTGTATTTATTAGCAACTTTGTTAAAATTTTGTTGCTAAAAGTCTTCTTTTTTTTTTTTCCGAGACGACTTTTTAATTATTATTCTTTCAACAGTAGAATTGGTCCTCAAATATTTTTTAGAACAAAATTTTTACTTTTTAGGACAAATATTTGATCCCTTAACACTCTTACATGTTGTAATACTATGAGAATTTTTAATTAAGACATGACGTAGTGCTAATGACTAATAAGGCGATCTCTCTCTATAGGATATGTGAGATACTTTGTTGTAAAGTTAAGATGACTAAATTTTTATATTAAATTTACTTAATCATTTAACATGACACTTTGCATGTCACCCATGTATTGATACACTACATAAAGAAGTGAATTATTTTTATTTATTATTTTTTCTATCAACGAAGAAGTGGAGTCTATTACACTAATGCAATGATAACAAATTAGACGGTAAGCAAATTGGGTACAAAAATTCAATATTATTATGATAATTTTATTGTCTCATCTTATTTTATTTATTATGTAATGTATCACTACTGTATTAAAAAGAAATATGAGTGACACAGACAAAAAATTCAAAGAAAGTTATTATAAATTACCCAAGTAAAAAGGTTTTTCCACATTCATGTCTATTTAGGTTTATGTTTATTACAGGTACATGTGCATATCACTACATGCACATGGATTTATTCTTCATAAGCTTTGAATAAATGGATCCCAAAGCTCTTATTAGCACTACTACTACTTCCACAAGTACAATGAAAATGGTATTCAAGGGCAAAACTTAACCTTATAGTTGGTTACCCCATTGCAAGTAAATGTGTTGGTCTTATTATCCTTAGGGTAACTATATGCATCTAGGCATCTATCTTTGAAAACTCTTGAATAATTTGTAAGTTCACAATTTCCAGAATTGCAACAGTACTGATTGGTCTTAAATACTGTACACAGATTATTACACTCGCTCGGGATCCGTAACTCATTTGGGCACTACCTATTTATATCAACGGTGCATTTGATATCCGGAGTGCACCTATTGAAAGTAAGGCTAAATCCATCGGCATGTTAAACTCGTCCACCAGGATATGTCAAAGAAGCTCAAGTTGTTGACTTTTTTTTTGATCAGCAAAGAAAAATTTCATTAACAACATGAAATTAAAGGTACAGGAAGATGACATGCATCGAGAGAGATTCGGAAGTATAAAAATACCCCTACTACTGCTACTCGCAACCATACAACCAACCCCTAAGCCTCTCGAATTTTTAAAACAAAGTTAAGAAGAACTTAACTAAAAAAAAAAATACATAAATCTCCAACAAAATCAACCCACCAAAAAAGAACCAAACTAGACTAACTAAACCAACTCCCAAGGCATCCTCATTGCCCAAGTTGTTGACTTGGTTTAGTGTATATTCAGCTAGTGTGCTAGGGGGTGCACCATATGTTTGGCACTCATGGAGCCCGTTATAGTCACTAGTCTGGCACTTGCCCCGATCGGCTCCATCAAAGGTGAAGCCAGTCCGTGCCTGTACTCAGTCTCCCTTTGCGCCTGTGGGAGGGTTAATGGCCCATGTTTGGCCGCGGTCCAATTGTCAACAACCACCAAGCACGGCTGCAGCCCAAATGGTAAAAGGGCAATTGTTTATGATGTTGATAGTGGCTGCATGGGTGTAGGCGGAGAGGAGAGCGATAAGAAAGAAAATGGCGACGGAGAGACAATTCATATTTTGGATTATATGGATTGGAAGCTATAGAGGTATGTATTTGAGGAGGGCAATAAGAGAGAAAATGGGAACGAAGAGACAATTGAAGAAGTTCATATCGTGGATATATGGATTTGGAGCTATATAGGTATCTATGAAACACGGGTGTGGGTACGAGTACGGTGTGGGTACGTCGATAGGACAAAAATAAAAAAAAGGTATGATACGGGTGCGACTGCAGTACGCCAATTTTTATTTATTTATTTATTTTTAATTATAATTATGGTTAAAGGATCCAACCTACAAATTAAAATTAAATATGAAAACTAAAAAAAGAACTACAAAACTAAAAGACAATCATATTTCAATTCAACAATGCCAACATTAAAACCTTTAAGCATTAAAAATAATATTTGTGAAAATCTTTTTAAAATCTTAATTTATTTTTAAAATCTATGTCTATGATCATAATTTATTTCTAAAATCTTTTTTCTTGCTCATCAATTATATTTAGACATATCTACATGAATTCAGGGACTTGATATTTTACGTAATGGAAGGTAAAGTAGATCCCTAACTTTATAAACTCCACAATAAGTGAAATCTAAGAGAGTTTGCAATTTTTATTTATTAGTTGTCAATGCTTACTGCTTTTTAATCTGGGTTAGATATTAATTCAAATTTTTCTGCAGGATGAAGAGGTTCTATATGAGGTGTTTATAGGGTGAGACCAAAGAAATAACAGGAGCACAAAAATTGCTAATCTACAGGGGCAAAAAAAAAGAAAAAGAGATAAAGAACACTCACTGGAGGGAAGACGAAGAGACAAAGATAATGAAGAACACTTGCCAATTGTTGATCTGCAGAAAAAATGAAGAAACGAAGATGAAGACGAAGACGAAGAAGAAGATGAAGAAGAAGAACAACACTCACCGAAGGGCTTCGTCTCATTGCGTCGCTGTCAACTTCGAAGTAAAGAGATGCTGCTGTTGTTGAAGAAGAAGACGAAGAAGCCTGCACTAGGGCTTCGTCTCTTTGTTGTTGCTGCTGAAGTGAATAGATGCAACAAAAGACAAAACAAAATCTAGGTGTATATATTATATTCTTAATATTACAAAATGACCCTGTATTTTTTGTTTTTTTTAATAAAGAACATAAATAAATTGCTCTGGTACCCCTAATTCTCTTATAAATTTGATTTTTTACCCCGGCGTACCCGAACGGTATCAATGGCATACCCATGCCGTACCCGATTGAACCAAACATACCGAACCTCTTTTTGCCGTACTCGGTACGCGTGCAACCGTATCGGTATGCGTACCCGCACCTGATAAGTACCCGATACTCGTATGATACTAATTTTAGAGTATCCGTGCTTTATAGATAGGTATGTATTTGACTTCTATCAGTTGTGCTTTTGTGGCATGGTTATTTATTAGAGAAGGATGGCCATGGGTTGGTTTGTGTGAATGATTTTTTGTAGTTATCTTTTGTGGAAATTCTGCTTGGGAAATTTTATAGATTGCGTAAGTTATGATATTTGTGATTTTTTATTATAACTTATTATAATGTTAGTTCAGACACATTATAATGTTGGTATTGATCTATTGTAATTATTATTTTGGTTATAATAAAAAATGAGATTTGAGGTGGTTTTATTGCACCTTGCATAACAGCCACTATTGTGTTGCTTTTCGGGATTAATTTTAGGTTTTATTTTGATAATTTGAATAATTCATTTTTTAAAATATATCGAGTACAACATACTTATAAAATATCAAATTGATCGAATATCAATAATTTTTTTCATCAAAACATATTTATTTAAATTTTATTCTTAAAAGCAAAGTTACCATTTATTTTTTCAAATATAAATATTATTTAATGAAAACGCTATCGATATTCGAGCAACTAAATTTTTTATGAGTATATTATATTTAACATATTTTAAAAATAAATTATTAAAATAAAATTCAAAATAGAGTTAAAAACTGCACAACAATAAGGTTTTTCTGGAGTAAACAACAGCCATCCATATTTGCATAGAATTACCCGTAATTATTGTAGTTATCTTTTTAATAATGTTTGAGAGCTCTAATGCAACTCTAATGATTTAGAGAGTACTCATATGAAGGTAGGGCCCACACTCTTCTCTCTATCTTTCTCTATTCTCTTTCTCTCTTCCACTTCACTAGAGCTCCATTCAGAGTTCTTAAATTAGAAGTATGTATCATTACTCTTATCTTTTGTCGAAATTTTGCTTAGATGATATACTATTCTACAGCACTAAATGTTGGAATAATCTTCTTTGTACAATAAATAAATTGAAATAAATCAAACAAATAAAATAAATTACATACCGAATTTATTTTACTGAACCGAATAAATATTTAAAGATTAAGTTGAGTGTTTGACACTTCTTTCTTAAGACAGATTCGCCCCGCTACGATGCTTATGAAAAAATGGTGTCTATCTCCTAGGATACATTGATCTTCACAAATTGTAGTAACACTCTAAACAATTTGTACGGCGAACAAAAACCTTGTGTTTTATACTCTCTTTAAAATTTCTCTAAA